CCCACCTCCTGCCCACTTCCTGCCCACCTCCAGCCCACTTCCACCTGCCCACTTCCTGCCCACCTCCTGTCCACTTCCTGCCCACCCCCAGCCCGCCTGCCCACCTCCTGCCCACTTCCTGCCCACCTCCTGCCCACCCCCAGCCCGCCTGCCCACCTCCAGCCCACTTCCACCTGCCCACCTCTTGCCCACCTCCAGCCCACTTCCACCTGCCCACTTCCTGCCTACCTCCTGCCCACCTCCTGCCCACCTCCTGTCCACCTCCTGCCCACCCCCAGCCCGCCTGCCCACCTCCAGCCCACTTCCACCTGCCCACTTCCTGCCTACCTCCTGCCCACCTCCTGCCCACCTCCTGCCCACTTCCTGCCCACCTCCTGCCCACCTCCAGCCCGCCTGCCCACCTCCAGCCCACTTCCACCTGCCCACCTCTTGCCCACCTCCAGCCCACTTCCACCTGCCCACTTCCTGCCTACCTCCTGCCCACCTCCTGCCCACCTCCTGCCCACTTCCTGCCCACCTCCTGCCCACCCCCAGCCCGCCTGCCCACTCCAGCCCACCAGCCCATTTCCTGCCCACCTCCTGCCCACTTCCAGCCCACCTCCTGCCCACCTACAGCCCACCTCCAGCCCATTTCCTGCCCACCTCCAGCCCACCTACAGCCCACTTCCTGCCCACCTCCAGCCCACTTCCACCTGCCCACCTCCTGCCGACTTCCTGCCCACCTCCAGCCCACTTCCACCTGCCCACCTCCAGCCCACATCCTGCCCACCCTGAGCCTATTCTTGCCTCACTGATCCACGTAAAGCACTGTTCTCACCCAGTACGACCCACGACCTTTATAACTATCGGTTTATTGGCTTTGATTCTAACAATTACGACCTCACTTCCGACGACCAGCTGCCAGCGACTTACCTTTGAGAATTCACACCTGGAACGACTCACTCACTCCCATCACGTCCCGTCTCGTTATAACTCGAACTAACGACCACCCAACCATTATAGTGAGACTTAAACGACCATTGGCTTACCCGCTCTCCCCCCCCACCACCCCCCATGGCTAACGATCCCGAAGTCCCATATTGTATACCCCCTCCCCCCTCCCCCCCTCTCCCCCGACCACCACCACCATTCCCTCACGACCGGATCATCACAAACCCATTCCTTCACGACCTCCCTTCTCCCTCCCTCCCCCCCCCTCCTCATCTCTCCCACACCAATCCCACAATCCTTCCCCCCCCCCCTTCCCCCCCAACATTCCCCTCACGACTTCTCTCCTCCCCTTCTCAATACACCCCCCACCCCCCACCCCCAATAACCCCACAGACCTTGGACAGCCCCTCCCACACTCCTACCCCCCATTCCCACACAACCCACACCTCACCCCCACACCACCCCTACCCAGGCCAACCCCCTGCTATTCCTGCTCATCATGATCATCATCATTATTATTATCCTCATTATCATCATATTACCATCATCATTATCTTCCTTATCATCATCATCATCATCATCATCGTTACCACCACCATCACCATCATCAATAATCATTAAACCCAGGTCAACCCACCCACCCCAACCCCTAACCCCCCACATCACCCCCCCTCACCCCCACAGATCCTCCACCACCATCATCATCATCACCATCATCAATCATCATTAAACCCAGGTCAACCCACTCAACCCCCAACCCCTTACCCTCCCCCTACATCACCCTTCCTCCCCCCCTCCCTTCACCCCCCCTCCCTTCACCCCCCCTCCCTTCACCCCCCTTCCCCCTCCCTCCCCCCTCCCTTCACCCCACACCGACCCTCCACACCTTCACCCCCCTTCCCCCTCCCCCTCCCCCCCCCCCCCCCCCCTCCCCTCACCCCACACCGACCCTCCACAACCTTCACCCCCCTTCCCCCTCCCCCATCCCCCCTCCCTTCACCCCACACCGACCTCCACACCTTCCCCCACTCTTCCCCCTCCCTCCCCCTCCCCCCCTCCCTTCACCCCACACCGACCCTCCACACCTTCACCCCCCTTCCCCCTCCCTCCCCCCCCTCCCATCACCCCACACCGACCCTCCACACCTTCACCCCCCTTCCCCCTCCCTCCCCCCACCCTCTCCCCCCCTCCCTTCACCCCACACCGACCCTCCACACCTTCACCCCCCTTCCCCCTCCCTCCCCCCTCCCTTCACTCTCCCCCCTCCCTTCACCCCACACCGACCCTCCACACCTTCACCCCCCTTCCCCCTCCCTCCCCCTCCCTTCACCCCCCCTCCCTTCACCCCACACCGACCCTCCACACCTTCCCCCACTCTTCCCCCTCCCTCCCCCTCCCCCAACCCCCCCCTCCCCTCACCCCACACCGACCCTCCACACCTTCACCTCCCCTTTCCCCTCCCTCCCCCCACCCTCTCCCCCCCTCCCTTCACCCCACACCGACCCTCCACCCCCTTCCCCCTCCCTCCCCCCACCCTCTCCCCCCGTCCCATCACCCCACACCGACCCTCCACACCTTCACCCTCCTTCCCCCCACCCTCTCCCCCCTCCCTTCACCCCACACCGACCCTCCACACCTTCACCCCCTTCCCCCTCCCCCAACCCCCCCTCCCCTCACCCCACACCTTCACCCCCCTTCCCCCTCCCTCCCCCTCCCCCCCTCCCCTCACCCCCACACCTTCACCCCACCTTCACCCCCTTCCCTCCCCCTCCCCCCCTCCCTTCACCCCACACCGACCCTCCACACCTCACCCCCCTGTCCCCCCCCTCCCCCCCCCCCTCCCATCACCCCCACAACCGACCCTCCACACCTTCCCCCATCCCTCCCCCCACCCTCTCCCCCCCTTCCCTTCACCCCACACCGACCCTCCCTCCCTTCACCACCTCCCTCCCTCCCTCCCCCCACCCTCTCCCCCCACCCCCCTCCCCTCACCCCACACCGACCCTCCACACCTTCACAATCTGACCCACTTGTATGCAAACTCCCCTCCATCAGGCCAGGCTTTGCCCATGGCCGGAGAGGGACTTCGGGTCCGTTGTTCGTCTTGCATACTGATGGCTCGGTGGTGGGGGTGGGGGGGGGTGGGGGAGCGTAGGTCCGTTGGGCAGATTTTCATTCATATCGGTGTTTTAATTTAGTGTGTGGGGGGGAGGGGGGGGTTATGTACTTGTCTGTCTGTCTGTTTGTATAATTATTTGTCTGTTTATGTGTTTGTATGTTTATGTATTTATTTGTTTGTCTGTGTGTCTGTATAATTATTTGTCTGTTTATATGTTTGTTTATGTATTTATTTGTTTGTCTGTTTGTTTATATAACTATTTGTCTGTTTATCTGTTTGTATGTTTATGTATTTATTTGTCTGTCTGTCTGTTTGTATATCTATTTGTCTATTTGATTGTGTATCTATCTATCTGTCTATCTGTATATCTGTATGCCTATCTACCATTGTATTTGTCTATCTGTCTGCACACCCTCTCTCTGTCTATCTCTCTCTCTCTCTCTCTCTCTCTCTCTCTCTCTTACCTTCACTTCTTCCACCTTATTCTCATTTTCTTTATCTCACCTTTCCGAATTTTCTTTCTGCTTCTCGATTTTTTTCCTATGTCTTTTTCTTTTATTTTTCTTTCTTCATCATCACCAGCTTCTTCTTCTTCTTCTTCCTCCTCCTCCTTCTTCTCTTCTTCTTCCTTCTTCTTCTTTCTTCTCCTTCTTCCTCCTCCTCCTCCTTCTCTTCTTCTTCTTTCTTCTTTCTTCTTCTTCTTCCTCCTCCTCCTCCTCCTTCTCTTCTTCTTCTTCTTCTTCCCCTTTTCTTTTTCTTCTTCTTCTTCTCATTCTCTTCTTCTCTTCCTCCTGCTCCTCATTCCTTACCATGCACATATGTGAGATATTCAGTCATGTCTTCCAGTCGTGTCACTAATTAAATTTACATACCAAAAACACTAGAGTTAATTTGGATTAACACTGAACATTTAACATTGTCCTAGTGGATGAGAAATAGATGTGACTGACTTATTTGGTGTTTGTGAGACTCAATCGACTATTCATTATGGAAGGAGAGAGGAGAAGGAAAGAGTTAGAGAGGGAGAGGGAGAGGGATGAAGATGGGAGGTAGGGAGGGATGGATGATGAGAAAGGAAGTGGGTGGAAGGGATGGGTGGAGGGAGAGAGAGAGAGAGAGTTAGAGAGAGAGAGAGAGAGAGAGAGAGAGAGAGAGAGAGAGAGAGAGAGAGAGAGAGAGAGAGAGAGAGAGAGAGAGAGAAAGAGAGAGAGAGAGAAAGAAAGAAAGGAAGAAAGAAAGAGAGAGAGAGAGAGAGAAAGAAAGAGAGATTGAGAGAGAGGGAGAGTGAGAGTGGGTGGAGAGAAATAAAGCCAGAGAGAGAGAAAGAGACAAACAGACAGACAAACAGACAGACAAACAGCAAGAGAAAAAAAATATGAAAACAAAGAGAGAAGTATCAGAGAGAACAAAACCAAAAACAGACAGACAGCCAAACAAACAAACGGACAAACAAACAGACAAAAAAAAATGGAAATTAGGTATTCGTCAACATACGATATCCCCACGACTCAATTAGTATTCACCTGAGTCTCCTATTACAGGGACAGACGAACCACCCACTACGAGTCAGGTGAGTTCACAACACTTGATCACGTGTCGACAGGTGATGGGGGAGGTAGTGGGGGGGAGAGGGGGAGAGGGGTGGAGGGGAGGGGGGAGAGGGAAGGAAGAGGGAGAGGGTGGTAGTGTAGGAGAGGGGGGGAGGGGGATAAGGAGGGAGAGGAAGGGGAGGACGTGATAAGGAGAGAGAGGGACAGGGAGGGAGAAGGCGAAGGGAAGATAGGGTAAAAGCAAGTGAGGATAAAGAAGGAAAGGAAGGGGAAGGAGTGAGAGGGAGTAGAAGAGAATGGTGATAGGAAGGAAAGGAGAAGATTGGATAAAAGAAAGAGAGGATAAAGAGGGAGAGGAATAGGAAGGGGTGATAAGGAGTAGGAGAGAAAAGGAAAGGAAG